TCCCCCTCATATCTCGTAGGGCACACAACACGTCACGCCTACCGAGTCACGGAAACGTCACAGGCCGCGTCACGAAAGGGGTCCGTGCGCGTCACAGACGTGGCCCACTGCCTGACGTTTGCGAACATCAGTGAGAGGGCTGCGGAAGGAGCGGGGAAGGAGGCGGGGGCCTGGACCATGGGTTCAGCAGCTACTCCCCCCGAGGGGTGGACAAGGGTAGAGCAGCATTGATGAGGGGAGGAACACGAACAGCAGCACGGACAAGGAAAACCGCAAAATCAACAGCGTTCCGTTTGGCAGTATACGTATTGTCATCAGTGACCTCTTCCTCCGTCCACCATTTCGGTGGAAGATGAGATTCGCGCTCAACCTTGTGGGCGGCCCGTCGGCTTTGTGTTCTGCCCACAATTGGCAAGTCAAAGTTCCACTGGTGCACACTTTGCAAGAACAACAAAAGATTTGACAGAGACGTCCTTTTCCCACCAGCGCACTAAAAGAAATGTGAACAATGGGGAGCAATATTGTTATCTGATAAAAATTTCCGTACATTTATTTAATTATTTTTCATAGGTACGCTGAAAAGAAAAGGCAAGCCCTGCAAAAAGCGAAATGTATTAGAAGTGATCCCACATTGTCAGCTTACTGCGTTGTAACTTTATCAAGTCTACTGTCCCTTCGATCATTTGCATGTTTGATCATACTTTCAATATTTACCGAAAAGAATTTAATTGCTGTTTATTCTCGACAAATTTTTACAGGGTACTACTTAGTATGTTAATTAATACTTATTATTTTATGCTATAATCTAATAATAGTAGATATAAGTGTTAAGCAAATTTCAGAGCTTTGATTTTCAAGAAAAAAAAACTAGGAGCTATGTCCAAAATATTCTATTGGGATTCAGACAGCCATCCCTACCCCCCGCTCCTAACTAGGGGTATGTCCATCCTGAGATTCTGGCCCACAAGGACGAGGGGTAGTGGCGGTTATGTTTCTCGCGAAACTCGTGACATCCTTTGCAAGAATTCGACGATTGAGAAAATGGCATGCAATAATTTTGATACAAGAGAAAAGTGCTTACCTGACGTGACAAGATGAGGACAAAGCAGCTCCATCATAAAACAGACAGCTTGGACAAGGGCACTCTTTTAACCTCAGCGTGCACCTGTTTTACACTCCTCGGCCGAGGAGGGGCGTACCTTATGACACCCACAATAACAGAACGACAAAGGTGCGGCGTGAGAAGCCTTTCATTTTTGAATCTTCAAGTTTCACAGTTCAAAGAGAACAAACCGGATTTGAAAATTATTGCGTAGTTTGCTCGAAATCAAGTGTCAAATCTGGCAAACACCTGAAACCTGTGCGCAGCGGGCCGTCCCGCCTCACGCTTGGAATCGTCTATTCGCAGTACACCCACCACAGTTGCACACGCTATTTGCACTTGGAGAAATATGGCTTCTGCAGCATCCGTCAACTGAATGTTAAAGGTGTCCACAATTTTCGGTAATTTCAAAGATTAACTCAGTGTTTTTAACCATATTTCAGAATAATTTCATCATATAGTATGCTTATACAGTTACATGGTCTTACATATACTGCAGTCTAGTTCTGACGTACGAATTTGAGTTGTTGTAGTGAAGGTTATGAAAACATTTTGACAGGAACAGGGAATTTCCTTTCTTGTTTTCATCTATCTGTTTCTTCGCATTACACTCAATCATTTTTAATTTAATTATGTACTTGAAATTTTGTGAAATAATGGGATAGACCTTCATGCATGTAGCAATTTGACTGTGCAATCGCAATGCATTTGTCTCATAGTAATTTATTTGGAATTTTGAGGTTCTCTTTGGTATTTTGTTTGTTTTTGTTTTTTTATCGTTATTGCCGTACTCCGAAATCATGCCCTGCATCTAACATCATTGTGGCAAAACGTAGAAATAATGCCTATTAGCTTTTAAGTATTGCCAGAATATTCTCCAAAGACACAAGAGGTTTCTATGGCTTCCTCAAAGTAGTTTCTGTGTTTAATTAAATGACACTTCAATTTTGTCTATTTTAACGCATCTCTGTTATAATGTTGTTGCAGTATCAGTGGAAAATAATTCTATATCCATTATGGATTCGTAAATTTTTAATATTTTCATGAGAAAACATGTAAGTATAGTTGAGGTGATGTCATTAATATGAACTTTACGCTGCGGACACTGCAATCACAATTTTTAATGTATGTTCTCATTTGTTATTGCAGGTTTCCCCAACAAGGCTCTGGGATGAACAGACCAGTCCACCCTCCTCCTTCAATGCCATCTGGTTCTATCCAAGGTTTTCCTGGAATGCCTTCGAGCACTATGATGTCAGCTGGTGTCCCTGCAGCAGGATATGGCCTGCAGCATGGCTTTGTGGGAAATATGCCTATGGCTCCAATGTCATCTGGTCCTGTGAATGTACAACCTATTCAGAATAAAATGTGGCAGCAAAATCAACAACAAAATTTTAAGCCACAAAATATGCAAAATCAGCAGCTGCTTCAGCAATCTCAACAAAAAGATCATAAGCACCGAGACTATCTGAAGCAGCAACAGCGGTTGAAGGCAATGCCCCTTTCTTCTAGCCAGGTACTAAATGAGAATTTTTTTTTTTTTCTGTCTATGACATATGTATTTGGTTAAACTGTTGATAAATGAAAAAATTCTGTCCATCTAGGGAATGAGTGCTGATACTTTAATTGGTAACCTCATGGATAAGAAGGATACATTTACACCAAGGCAAAATTCTCAGGGACAAATAAAACAACCTGGTGATCGACCTGAATTATTGGGGCAACAGGTATGATTTGGATAAATTCTGATACATTGAACTGATATTTCAAGGTGTGGTTCCTGTTTGAGAATTATGTTTTAGTATCTAATGCAATTTCTAATCTATTTTTATAGGGGAGACAACCAATCCAGCCAAATCAGCCAAATATAACAGGAAGCAGAGGTGCTGGTGGGTCAACTAATCCTAATGACAATCTTCCTGGGTGGCTAATTCCAAATTCTGCAAGACTCCCCCCCATATATTCTCATATTTGGAGCCTTGTCAATGACCCTGCTTCTGGAGGTACAACAATTTAAAATTATCTAAAAGATACAGTTAAAAGATAAAACTATTAGTCTGACAACTTATTTTTTCACAAGGTGTGCTAGTAGACACAAACAAAATACTGGCCTTACTTTTGACAAGCAGTTTGCCCAAAGAAGTTCTTGGTTTCATCTGGAACCTAGCCACTAATGGTGCAAATGTTCAATTGAATCAGCAGCAATTGTATATCACTTTAGCGCTTGTTGCGCTTGCTCAGGTATTTTTATTTCTGTCAGATTTTTATTCCATTCCACAATGTTTTCTACTTGAACTTATTTCAAAATGATCACTTCGTTTTAGATGGGCTGTACATTTAACAACCTCAGTGTACTGAACTTCATTCCAACACCTCCGATACCAACTTTTAATATGAATGTGCCAAAGTCTTCAGTAGATGAGAAACAAAAGCGATCTGATTTAAATATGAAGCCTCCTGCTCCGAACGCTGCTGCAATAGCCCTTCCTTCGTCATCTTCCACTTTGGTTCCAACATCTGCGCCAGCACCATCATCTGCTCCAATTCCAACTCAGGCTGATGATGATGACTTTGATGATTTCACTGACTTCCAAAGTGCTGACACGTCTGCAGCACCAACTTCTAATCTTCCAAATTTATGTAACTCTTTACCAGCTACTGCAGTTATCCAACCATCAATGGCTGCAAAACAGGTCAATATATCAACTGACACTGTTTGTTTTGTTATTGTTTTACTACTTAGTTGCAGTGATCAATAATTGTCTTTTTCTTACATTTAGGTTGTTAATGAGTTAAACCACAGTGTGGTCAACAAATTGGGACGTAGCCAGGGCCGTTCAATTGGAAGTAGACTGGCAAACCATACACTAGGTGCACCAAAATCCAATCAAAAACCTCGACGTGCTTCCATGGACAGTGATAATTTTTACATTCAAGATGACTTTGCTATAGGTTTTGAGAGAAACCAAAATCAAATGAGAGATCAAAGAGGGGCAGAAAGAAATGAAGATTTATCTGAAAGTGAGGACTTTAGTGACTTTCAGGTTGCTGCTGGGCTAAACGTAAATGTCGATGAGCTGTTTCCGAAATGCCACCCAAAGTCCAAATCTCAAGATCTGGTTCTAAAAGAAAGTGCTATAAGGAATGAATCTGATGATGAAAGTTTTATTATAAATAAGGAAGAGGAGCTCCTCGACTTTGACTCTTCTACTAAGCCACCACCTGTGGAACTCAAAAGCAGACCAACAACAGTAGAAATTCCACTAGTTGCTCCACCACCAAACAAAGCTACCAAAGAACTAATGTTGGTTGAAGAGGACAAATACAGTGCCTTGCGATTAATTGGGCTTGACAGCTCGGGGAATACTGCTTCCCAAACATTGGGAGCTACTTCCAAGAGTAGTGACACAGATGACTTTGGTGATTTTGTCTCAGCAGATGACTTGTTTGCAGAAATAGCTGAGAGAGATACTGGAAATTCGGTCAAGCCAATCAATCCTCCAACAGACAGCAACCAACAAGTACCTTCTGTTCTTAATGTCAAATTTGCTATTGATGATTGGGGCCCCTCTGTTTTCCAGAGCTCTCAGGCTGTTCAGAATTCTGTAAACACTGTTCAAAATTTGTTTGAGGCAGCTCCTACTGCTGAACCAAAAAATAAGTTTGAAGATTTATCTGCAGCCTTTGTGGATTTAGATATTTCAAAAGAAAGTGGAGATCTTCTCACAAAAACTGATGCTCCCTCATCATGGAGCTTTGATCTAGACCTAGGTAATTGTCTTTTTGTGAGTACATGTGCATGTAGGTATTTAAATAGTCTTGGTCTAATTGTTTTTATACATTTTGACAGGAAAAGAATCTGCTGGATTGAATCTCAATTTGAACTTCAGTAGTGTGCATGACAATGCCAATGATGATGATTTTGGTGATTTTGTTGGCCCTGATTCAAGCCAGATTGAAGACACAAACTGTAAAGCTGCATCAGGCTTCCTTGTTGACCAATTATGGTCTGAGGATAGTTCCAAAATGATGCCAGGCTCTCTTTCAGATAATAAGTCTGTCAGTAGTCTTGAACTGCCAGGTGTTACCCTAAGCCGTCATGGATCTCTTCCTTCTTTAGATCTGAATCTTTTCCCAACCACAGACGACCTGACAGACAAAGCTATGAACTCAGAAGTAAGATTGGGGGTTGATTCTTGCTTTTTATCTATCCAAGTTTTTGTTCTCTTTTTCACTTTTTTCATCTATGTTACTAGGTTTCAGACTGGCTCAGATGCTTGGATAGTTCGTGCTCACTACTTCAAGCTTCAGCCAGTACTTTTACAAATATTACATCTCACTCTGTTCTGCTTGAAGTTTTGGGAACAGCAGAGGGGCGCAATTTCTTGAATAGTAAGTTCAATTATTTTTAAATAGTTACCTGCAAAAGTAAAATTTCTGACTGATGCCTCCTGACAAATTATTATATTTTCAGATCTCTTAGAAGTCCACAGAGTTACTTGGAGGATCCAGAGAAGTTATCAGCGGTCTGGTCATGAATCAAATCAAGTGGAGACAGTTTTAGCCAGTATTCAAAAAGTTTGGTCAACTTTACAAACGTTTTACAAACTTGCAAACATTGAAACAGTATGTAGCAATCATAAACCTATTTTAGTATCCATGTGATTTTTATCATCAACTGTTTATTATTTCTGTGATTGTTTTTCAGGCTGTTGAAAAAGATGGCAGTGATGAAGAAAGTGGACAACCTGCTTGTGGAGTTTGCGGAAGTCCGGCCAGTCGTAGTGTGTTAGAGTATGGGGGACATGTGTATCATGCTCCTTGTGCCAATTTGTGGCTTAACTCCGTTGACCGGACTTTACCCTCACATTTATCATTGCTTTAAAGACGTAATGTATCAAGAAAACCAAACTACCTTAATGCTTCAAATCGACTTAATTTTGGTGCTTAGCTTAAGATAAAATGGCCCAAAAATCTTAACCACCGTGGCTCCCACGTTTACCAAAATTTTGGCAACCACTTTCTGCCTGCCAGATTTTGACGTTCTTTTAGAGACTGCCACTTGTTAACCTCCTTTTGGCTTCTTTAGAATGCCAAAATTTGACCTCCTCTGAAAGAAGGAAATTTTGGAAAGCAAAGCGGCCACAGTGTTTAGAGTGAAGGCTGCATGCATATGCCTGTTTTTTGGGTATTGTGTGAAACTACATAGTTTTCTCCTTTCTTTTGTGGCTTGAGCAAAATGTACTGTTATTGGCTATGATATGTTAGCTCCTCATCCTAAAACTCATTCTACCAACAAAACAATAGCTAATGAATCTCAAAAAGTTGTTTTAATTTATGTAGACAAAGACACAGTACAGCAATCTCGTCTATTGATTCATTTTGTAGAAATAGGATATCCCTTTTGCATTTTTTCTTGGAGGGGGGGGGGTGCCTTAAACATTGCTTAAGCCATTCAATGTTTACCATGTGATTTCTTTTATTTTCTAATCTTAGGTAATAACCAGGAAGTGGTCATAAAAGTAGCCAATTATTCTCTTCCAGTGTCCTTCATAAGTCTGATCGCTTTTTAGATAGTCATCCTTACATATGTAGATGCATCAGTTCTTAGAAAATTTTCGCTTTTAATTCAACCTGTTTTGAAGTATCGTACTTTAGCTTCTCAGAGTTCATGTGGTGTCCTGGTTAAAAATGTGATTCAAAAGTTTGTGTTTTTGTTAGTTTCTGCTTTGCTACTGAGCCATTGAGAAGGATTGATGGAAAATTGTTCTCCAGAGAATCATTATGAAACTCTTTTATTTAATTATTTTACTGTAGATGTATTTTATTTCTGCTTTTTAATATATCGCTTGGTTTGGTTCTGATATTATGTTAGTCTAGTCATAACAAAAGCCTTTCAATGCATGCTCAAGATATTTTTGTAATGTGAAGTGTATTGGGTTGTCTGAAAGTTTTGGATAACAAATGAAACCTTGTTAGTAGCTTTGTCTGATTAGAATAATTTTTACTCTTCAATTGTGATCTGTAGACTGCACAACCATATTTCCCAACAGTATTTGATTGACTTCTGTAGCATGTCCATCTTTACATTACATCTTTTTCAAGCATGTGTGTAGGCGTCTGAGAGCTCGTTGCCGTCCGCATAATCAATGTATTATTGTTATTATATCATATTTGAGATTACCTATCTGTTTCCTTTTGGAGACTTTTTGAAATGAAATATTCTATTATGTATTGTTACATTTTTGATGAAAAACTATTAGGCTACTGGAGTCTTATTTTAAAACATTCCCATACTATGTACGAAGTTGTTGATTTTAATGTTATCTCTGCTAAACTATGATGTAGCATAAGAGTTACCAAATCTAGCCTAATAAATTATCATCCCTCCAACCGTGGCCTGAAGTTCATTTCGCGTGCATCCTCCCCCGTCAGCAGGTACTGTCAGCAACAGCAGCGGTGGGGCGGCCGGTGGTTGGGCAGCTAGTCGCAAGTGGTCTGGGCCAGCGAGGCCAGCAGCGCACAGCCGCCACCGTCGCGTGGTGGGGGTCTAGGACCCGCGGTGGGGGTAGCGCCGGCGCCGTACGCGCCCCCGGCCCGGAGCCCCCTCCCCGCGGGGCCCAGCTCAGCGTGGGCCGAGCGGGGCGAGCAGGGCAGGCTGGCAGTCAGTACCGAGGAGCTCTCCCTGCGTAGCGAAGCGACCCGGAGCAGCCAGGGGCCCCCGCGACCCCCCCACGCGCGCCACGGCCATGCAGTGACGAGCCGAGCCGAACCGAGCCGAACCGAACCCAACAACCCCCTGCGACCCACAGCCGCGTCGCGAGTCTGACCGGACTGGGAGCAGCCTGCACCTCCACGTCAACATGTACTGCTGGTTGTCAACGTCGGCGCCAGCCTCCAGGCCCAACTACGCCCTCCCGGGCAGCGCCAAGAAGGGTGAGTCGAGCCGAGCCGAGCAGCGCGTCCCGAGCGAGTCGAGCCGAGCCGGGAGGAGCAGCCGCGGGGCGGCGGTGGCGGGGCAGCACAGCCACTGCTCTGCGCGGTGACCGCCGCCCGGGGGGCGGGGATGACGGGAGGTGGGATGAGGGGGGCAATAAAAGTACGAGATAAGAAAATAAAAGCTGTTGGAGTGAATTCGCAAGTCGTGCCGCCGCGCGCACCCCGCCGCATACCAATCGGGCCGACGCCACGCCGCCGCCGTCGCCGCGCACCAGAGTACCCCTTGTTACGGGTGGCGCGCGGCCCTGGGCCAGCTCAGCTCGGCACCCTCGGCACACCCGCCGCACGGCCCTTCTCGCTGAATCGGCATCGGGTTTGTTGTTGTTCCGCCGCACACCACAAGGAGAGAGAGCGGGGCTAAATCAAGCCCGGGGGGCACACTCGCGAGCGCGCGGCGGCGGAGGCGGACAGGAAATAGAAAACCAACAAATACAGGAAACCGATCACATTTCTGAGGGCCCCGCGGGGGCCCGGGGTGGGCGGGGAGTGCTACACATAATCCGCCCGCAGGTTATTGGCACGCCCTGGACATCGCGATAGTGCTGGGCAGGAGGAGGTGGGGCCGGGAGGCAGCCGTTGGCCCGGTCCCGGGATATAAGTGGGCGGGCAATAGTAGGTAAACAGAACGCCCCGGCCCTGCCCCCCTGAACGTCGTATCGCGCCCACGATCACGCCGAGGAAATAGCCATCAGCGCCATGTTAGGGGCTGCATAATCAAACGATCCTTTCTCTCGTCGCGCCTGCCCGCCCCCGCGCGCGCTCGCCCGGGGTCCTGCCTCAATTATTATTCTTCAGCCGCAGAAAGAAAAAGGAGGTGCTGTAGCGCAAGCATGGGCCGCCGCCCCTCGGCCTTGCCCTAAATCCGTCCCGGTGACTGACCACACAAACCTTTTGTTGCTGTTTAGGGGGGGAGGGAGGGGGGTAGGACAGGGTAGCTTTGCTCTCCTCAAGCAAGTAAAACACGTAAACCAACAGTATAGCCCTCAAGGCGTGAACACTTGACCGCGCACTATACACAACCAATACCGTAGAGAGTTGACAGACGGGTGCAAGTAGCG